GCGCCGCAGCCGCGCCAGGAGTGGTCCTTCTCCACGCCGCCCCGGGACCGCCCGGCGCCGGCCGCCGCCGCGCCGCCCGGCGCGCGGGGCGGCCCGCCGCGGGGCGCGCCGCCTGCGGAGGGGCACCGCAGGCAGACGGCGACGGGCCCCGCCGGGCCCATTTCAGGAGGGAAAAAAAGACACAGACGCAATGAATCGTCGATTCGCCAGAAAATATGGGAAGATATGGGAAGTGGGGGGGAAGACAGGTACCCAGAACAGATGTGAAAATATGGGGGATATTGTTATTTGTGTGTGTTTATTTGTGTATCCTGGGGCCCCTTCACCGCTTCGCTTCGACCCCATGCGGGCTCCACCCAGCCCTTCCGAAAAGAGTCCGTTCGGCGCCGAATGGAACTGCAGTCGGCGAGTCTCCGCGCGAGCGCCGGATGGGCTCTGAGCTTCGTGAGCTGAACGTGCAGAAAGCATTGCAAATCGGCCCTGCAGGGCCGCTGCAGGGCCGCGGCCAGCGATGCCAAGCGGCCCTGCAGGGCCGCTTGGCATCGCGCGGGCGAGTGCGTACTTTGTATTTTTCCTCGGCAAGGACCATCGGGGAACCTCCCGGATCTTCCGGCAAGAAGAGCACGCACGAGGCCGAAGAGGGCACGGGGGAGGGGCGTCCGGGCGAGAGCAGGGGACGGGGGTCAGTGCGAACGGGGAGCAGCCAGAGCGCCAGATCCTGCAGGATCCAGCATAGCAGGGGTGCACTGACCGGGGTCTGCGCGCAGGATCCTGCAGGATCTTGCAGGATCCTGCAAAGCCCAGCTGCCCCGGAATTAGGTGGACCCGAGCCAGGTCATGGTGATACCCGATTCCGATTCGATTCGATTCCACGTCGATCGCTGCCCATTCCGATTCGATTCGGTTGCGGGTTCCGCTGTGGGTTCTGGCCTCTCCACGATACTGGCCTGCCGACTTCCGCCGACTCGGCTCCTCCCGAGCTGGCTGCCGATGCCCGCCCATCCGACGCGCGTCGATCGCCGATCCGAAGGCGAGAGCCGGGGCACCTCCGGCGCTCGAGCAGCACGAGGCCCCGGGGCGGCCACGGGGAGGCCCAGGCCTCCGACCGGCCACTCAGGGGCGCAGACCCCTGTCGCGTCGCGGAGGAATCGCGGCGGGCGGCCTCTGACCGTTTGAGGCCGTCGGGGCCCCCTCTTTTTTGTGTGAGATGGTGTCCGGCTGCCATACGAAACAAAACGCACCACACGTTGATTGAAAGAGCTACCGGTTGCCATAGAAGCACTTTTTGGTCTGCGGGTCGAGAGCGGGCCTCTTCCGGTTAAGAGCTAGGCGGGGCGCGCAAAGCACTAATTGGGGAGACAGGGCGCGGGCGGGCGGGGCCTCAGGCGGCCGGAGGGTGCGGGGTGCAGGCGGTGCCGAAGAGCTGCTATACAAGCGCACGGTCGTCCCTGTGGTTACGGTTTGCCACAACGAAGGCAATGAGCCCGGCGAAGGGCCCAATCAATGCAGTTGTGGTCACCGTCGTTGTATGCACCGCATTCGGTCGAGCTCCCTATGGGGTCAACGAGACGTGTGAGGGTGTGCCAAACTTGGCGCGGTGGGCGCATGCGAGCGCTGGCAGCGAGGCCTTCGGTGGAGCTCCCTATGGGGCCACGGAACGTGTGAGGGGTGTGCCAAACTTGCTGCGGTGGCCGCATGCGAGCGCTGGCATGTGGGCCTTCGGTGGAGCTCCCTATGGGGCCACGAAGCTTTGAGGGGTGCGCCACAATGAGAGGGGTGACGGGAGGAGAAGGAGGAGGAGAAGGAGGCGGAGGAGGAGGAGGAAGAGGGGGAGCAGGAGAAGGAGGAGGAGGAGGAGGAAGAGGAGAAGGAGGAGAAGGAGGAGGAGGAGAGGAGAGGAGAGGAGAGGAGAGGAGAGGAGAGGAGAGGAGAGGAGAGGAGAGGAGAGGAGAGGAGAGGAGAGGAGATGCGGGGACTCTCTCTTCAAAACGAGGACCCAACACCACAGGATGGCTGCGAACAAAACACGGGTTGCCAACGACACGTGCGATGTTTCATTGTTTTCGATGGCCCCAGGACTGTCAACGAGCGACTCGGGCTGAAAGGTCCGCCCCGGAGAGCGGGTCGGGACCTCCAGGGGTGCACGCTGTGAGAAACTCATGGCGTCGGGGATCTGAGATGTCGCGAAAAGAAGAGACGACGACCACGACCACGACCACGACCACGATTTCGACAACGACCATGACCACGACCACGACCACGACGACGACGACGCCGACCACGACCACGAGCACAACCACGACCACGACCACGACCACGACGACGACGACGAGGACGTCGACGACGACGACGACGACGACGACGACGAAAACGACGACGACGACGAAAACGACGACGACGACGACGACGACGACGACGACGACGACGACGACGACGACGACGACGACGACGACGACGACGACGACGGCGTGTTTTCCACACCCTCAGGCTCCAGGGGGGCCGAACTCTCGGCCGCGGGGCAGGTGGATAAAAAGCCGGCCAGGGTTCTACCAGGGGCAACGTTAGGGGGGGACAGGCTGAGGGGGGATGACAAGTGTGAGGTTTTCGTGTTTTATTGGGGGGGGATTCTCGGCGGTTTTCCAGCCGCCTCGGGAGGCTCTGCACCAGCCGCGCCTCGCCGAGAGCTCTTCGGGGGATCCAGATCGTCCCGAGCTGCCGCCAGGAGTCCCCGAGCTAAGGCCCGAATACATCTGGTGACCAGGATGGATTCAGGGGGACGCATCGACCTCCAATCGCCCATTCATCGCCGATAGTGGCCCGACAGCCCCATCCCGCCCAGGAACGTGTGGCTTCGCTCTCGGGAGCCTATCGCCGATCTTTCTGCGATGTACCGCGGATTCCAGCTGGATGTTCACCCCCTGAACCAATTACCCTCCTTGGTCGGGAAATTTTGGATAGCGTGTCGCTCCACTGTCCTGGCCCACCACGCTTGGGCGCGACACGCTTTCCATTTAGCGGTCCCCAGGCATCAACGTCAACGTCCCGAGCTTTCCTGAGCCGCGGGGCCGAGCGGCACGCTATTCGTTCGCAGCCCATAGCATGTTGTTGGGCCCGCCGCCGCGACACGTTAAGCAAACATTCGCGACCCGTTGCTTGGATGGCAAATCCTGGGAGCCCTCTTGGCACCCTGGCGAATCCCAGCCTCCATGTCCTGCCGTCTTGTACCACTTAGTGTGCTTCAATGTGTGCGGTTTAACGTTGTCTAGTGCAGTCTAGCGTTGCTTAGTGCGGTTCTAGTGCTTTTTGGTTGTGTTTCTTGCGGTTTGGTTCGGATTTGAGACGCAATGTCTAGCTGCTCGTTTGGGGAACCTTCCTGGGGCCCACCTGACGGATCTGTTCGACCCTAGTTCGACCCTAGTTCGACTCAAGTTCGGCTCAAGTTCGACTCAAGTTCGACTCATGCCCGACTCGGGTTCGGCTCAGGGTCGATTCTGACCGACGGACGTTCGACGCAGCTTCGACGCAAGAGTGGAGCGAGTCCAGGAAGGTCCCGTATGATGCACGGCGGCCCTCGGCGCGCAGCCAAGGCAGCGAGCCGAGAGCACGGGACCCCCCCCCGCAGACCGGGAGCGATATATGTTTTCTTATACGCGTATATACACATGCACCTATTATATTTACATACACCTGTTAGACAAATGTGAGTACATATATATATATATATATATATGTGTGTAGTCTGCCTGTTATACGTTATCATATCAAGAGTGATGCATCTACATGTTACACATGTGTAAGTCACAGCGGTAGATTGAACTGTATATCAAGACATGTATATACATGTTGCCCAAACATTTGTTGCACTTATGGGCTCTTACTTCTGGTCTAAGGTACAGGGCCTGGGTCGCAGTCTGGCGGCTTCGTGGTCGCCGTCCCCGCCCCGTCGCCACCCACCTCGTCGCTGCCCGTCGTCTGGGCCTGCCTGGCGGTCTGGCGGCTCCGTGCTCGCCGTCGCCGCCTTGTCGCCGCCCGTCGCCGCTTCGCATATATTCTCCTTTCTAAGAAGAGAATAAACTCTACCCCCCTCGGGCGTTATCCGCCCCCCTTTCGGGTATGTAAATCAAATGTGATTCTGACCACATGTCCATCCGAAATATGAATTCTTCACGCTTCGCGTATCCCCACCAGCCCATCTCAAAATAGCAACTCTTGCGAAGCATGCCGACAGTCGTGTTTTTCAGGCGTGTTTCCGCCTGCCCCCGCATATCTCCGGGCCTCTCGTACTGGTGTGAGTCGTTCGGGCCCTTCTTCCTGGTGTGAGTCGTTCGGGCTCTTCGTCGTGGTTTGAGTCGTTCGGGCTCTTCGTCCTGGCGTGAGTCGTTCGGGCTTCTCGTGGTGTGAGTTGTTCGGGCCCTTCGTCCTGGTGTGAGTCGTTCGGGCTCCTCCTCCTGGTGTGAGTCGTTCGGGCTCCTCGCGGTGTGAGTCGTTCGGGCGCCTCGTCCTGGTGTGAGTCGTTCGGGCCCCTCCTTGTGGTGTGAGTCGTTCGGGCTCTTCGTGGTGTGAGTCGTTCGGGCCCCTCGTCCTGGTGTGAGTCGTTCGGGCTCCTCGTGGGGCCTCTTAGGGGCCTCTTGGAGCCTCTTGGGGCCTCTTGGGGGCCTCTTGGGGGCTTCTTGGGGGCCTCTTGGGGGCCTCTTGGGGCCTCTTGGGGCCTCTTGGGGGCCTCTTGGGAGCCTCTTGGGGGCCTATTGGGGCCTCTTGGGGGCCTCTTGGGGGCCTCTTGGAGGCCTCTTGGGAGGCTCCTGGTGGCCTCTTGGGGCCATCTTGGGGCCTCTGGCGACCTCCTCAGAAGCGCAAATGAGCGCTGCCTCCTGAGAAGGACAAAATGAGCCCAACACCTTCGTAAAATCAATGATTCTGCTATGAAGGAAGAGGAGCGCGGCCCCCTCAGGAGGCCAACATGGGGCCAAAACCGTAGTAACATCAAGGATTGTGGCTTCAAAGAAGAGGACAGGGACTTATCTCCGTCCCCCCGTCGGGGCCAGAATCCTCGTGAGGGTCGTCGTTTTTTAGCCCTCCCAGGAGTCGTAACAGACCCCTCCAACGACCCGCGAAACCCCCTCTCCAGGTCCAGGGGGAAGGGGTAGGGGGAGGGGTAAACCCCTCCCCAAAGGGGAAGAAGGGGGGTTGAGGACAGAGCGGGCTCTCTAAACCACTCACGCCCAAAGGGCTGGTGGGATTTACACTATCCCAGAGGGGCGGGGATCGACCCCCTTGAGGTTCCCTTGTAAAAACAACGATAGGCGGGGACATTGTTTGTTCTAACCTAACACTTTTCCATTAATCCCTTGCAAAAAAGGGACGGAGTGCACACGCGCGCGTCGTCGCGCGCGCATGCCGAAATCCTTCAAAAACCTTCGGTGTCGGAAGGATTTCGTAATCTAGTTTCCCAAAAACATACAAAAGCACAGGGTTTCGCAACACTGATTTGCTAAATAAGCTTACACGCGAGCTCTTGCGAAATCTTAAGGGAACCGTAGGTTTTTCAAGATTTTCAAAAAAATGCTACCAAACGGGCTTCGCGCGCGCGCATGTCGAAATCTGTCGAACGCCCTTGCGCGTGTGCCGTCGCGAGAATCCTCTGCAACAAATAGGACGAAGTGCAGATGCGCGCGTCGTCGCGCGCGTACGCCGAAATCCTTCAAAACCCATAGATTTCGGAAGGATTTCAAAATCCTGTGTCCAAAAAACATACAAAAACACAAGGTTTCGCAACACAGATTTTCAACAAAAGCGTGCGCGCGCGCTCGTGCGTCGTCGTCGTCGTCGTTGTCGCCGTCCTCCCTCCTCCCGCGTAGTCGTCGTCGTCGTCGTCGTCGTCGTCGTCGCCTACGTCGTCCTCTGTGTTTCCTCGTGTTCGTCGTCGTCGTCCTTTTGGCGGCGTGGTCGTTTCCGTCGTCGTTGTCGCCGTGGTCGTCCTTCCTCCTCCTCCCTCGTCGTCGTCGTCGTCCGTCGTCGGCGTCTCGTCGTCGTCCCTCCTATTTCGTCGCCGTCGTCGTCGTCGTCGTCGTCGTCGTCGTCGTCGTTCCCTCCTCCCTCGTCGTTGTCGTCGTCGGCGTCGCCGTCCTTCCTCCTTCTTCGTCGTTCGCGTCGTCGCCGTCCTCCCTCCTCCCTCGTCGTTTGTCGTCGTTGTCGTCGTTGTCGCCGTCGTCGTCCTCCCTCCTCCCTCGTCGTCGTCTTCGTTGGCGACGTCGTCGTCGTCGTCGGCGTCGTCGGCGTCGTCGTCTTCGTCGTCGTCGACGTCGGCGTCGTCGTCGTCGCCGCCGTCGTCGTCGTCGTCGTCGTCGTCGTTGACGTCGTCGTCGTCGTCGGTGTCGTCGTCGTCGTCGTCGTCGTCGGCGTCGTCATCGTCGGCGTTGTTGTCATCGTCGTCGTCGTCGTCGGCGTCGGCGTCGTCGTCGTCGTCGGTGTCGTCGTCGTCGTCGTCGTCGTCGTCGTTGTCGGCGTCGTCGAAGTCGTTGGAGACGTCGTCGGTGTCGTCGTAGTCGTTGTCGGCGGCGTCGTCGTCGTTGTCGCTGTCGTCGTCGGCGTCGCTGTCGTTGCCAAGTGCCGTTTGGTACCCACCGTCACGGTCTTAAGAGATTTTGCAAACCAAGTTGCGGGTGGGTGGGTGGGATGTTTGCAAGAGCAGTGGAGGTGGTCAAGCGCGGTGCAGGGTAGTCAATTGCACCACATAGATTGCACCGCATATGTTGCACCACATGTATTGCACCACATGAATTGATTGCACCGCATAGATCTCATCACACACATTTCACCACATAGATTGTTCAACATAGATCGCACCACATGGATTGCACCACATAGATTGCACAGCATAGATCGCACCGCATACATTGCACGACATAGCATGCATCATGTATATATTACGCCGCGTATATTTCACCACATGGGGTGCACCACATAGATAGCTAGAATCACACTGTCTGGGGTCCACGCTGACTCACATGTATGTATAAAGACGTCGGAGGTCTGGGCCAGGCTCGAGCCAGCGCAAACCCAGATCAAGGCCAGTGAATTAGCGACGGGTCCCGTTTCCATGGAGTCGCCAAGTCGGGCGTCACGGGCCTCATGTTTCAGGGGTGCTGGATCCATGGGTCTGTCGCCAACGCGCCAGATCCACGGATCTCTGCTCCATGGTAGCGAGTACCCGACAGGCGCTGGGGGGCTTTGACGGACCCAGCGGCCGGAAGCGCGGAGGTCTTTGCGATGGAGGAGGCGCTGGCCGCGACGCTGGCGCGCGGGCACGGCAGGGTGGTCGACGGTTCACAGATGGGACCCCGAGTCCGAGGCGGGGTTGCATCCATAACCACCGCCTGGGGGCTCAAGCTTCGGGGCCTCAGCGGGCAGTGGATGTGGGCATGTTCGGGCCCCGTGGGGCTCAAAGATGTTTGTGCCCCGTTTCCCCCCCCCCTGGGCACCCTGGACGTGTGCTCCCCATGCGATGGATATGGATAATAATTCCCGCCTCGCACCCAGGGGCGCGCGGCCTCGCATTTTCAAGCCTCGGCTTGGGGTCCCCTTCCTGCCCTCGGGGCCTGCATCCCTCGCGGGCCCCACAGCTTTTGGAACAGGGGGCGCCCTCGAGGGCGCGAGGCCATTCGCGCTCCGCGCTCTGTCCCCGATCCCTCCTCGCCCCCCCTCTTCTCCCCCTACGGGGGGGGGGGGCGGCGCCGGAGCGCGAAGCTCCTCGCCCCTCGCGCAGCGCGCGGGGAGGAGGGGGAGGAGGGGGAGGAGGAGGAGGAGGAGGGGGGGGGGAGAGGAGGAGGAGGAGGGGGAGGAGGGAGGAGGAGGAGGAGGAGGAGGAGGGAGGAGGAGGAGGAGGAGGAGGAGGAGGAGGAGGAGGAGGAGGAGGAGGAGGAGGAGGAGGAGGAGGAGGAGGAGGAGGAGGACGCGAGGCGCCCCTGTTGCCCCCGCCGAGGTGGCGGTGGCGCGCAGCCGCGACCGCCGCGGGGCCCCGCGGCGCGAGGCGGCGGCCGCCCTGCGGCAGTGGTGCGGGGCCGCGGCGCCGTGGCCGCTGGCGCCGTCGGCGCCCCGCCGCGGCGCGAGGCTCTGCAAAGAAACAAAAAAAACCAACGATTGCAAACAAAACAAAAACAACTTTTTTTTTCGAAGGATTGCAACAACAAAAAAACCTTTTGCACAAAAAAACAAACCTTCGCGAGGCGATTGCAAAAAAAAACAACCTTTTAGCAAAAAAACAAATCCTTCGCGAGGCTCTGGTGCACGCCCGGCGTGCGCGGCGCCGACGAGAGGGTCCCCGACGGGGAGGTCGTGGAGCTGCTGAGCTGCCCGCAGCCCAGCGAGGGCGGGCTGGGGGACTTCGTGCGCGTGCGCCGCGGCGGCGGGGACGAGGGGTGGGTGAAGGTGGAGCACGTCCGCCTGGCGGGCTGAGCGCGGCGAGGAGCTCGCGCCGCGTCCCCTCCGCCTCGGCCCCCTCGTCCTCGGTCTGTGGCCGGGGGGTCACCCCCTGATGCCCTGGGTGGGGGGTGGGTGGGGGGGGGGCCTTCCCGAGGCCAGGCAGCAGCAAGAGCTCTGCGGGCAGAGCCCTGGAAAGTGGGGCCACTCTGGTTTCGGCGGGGGCTCGGGGTTCGGTGTGTGTGTGTGTGTGTGTTTCCTGGGCTTCCCCAGGATCCCGCCTCGTGGTAGATCTATGCAGGTACCACGGGTACGAAGAAGGGGTTTCGTTCGCTATCAGAGGTTCTTGAAGCAGGGCTTTGAGTGTCCTCGAGTTGGCGCCACAGAACGAATATGAAGTTGCCTGCATGCAATCGGCATTGTTGTGTAACTTAGGTTTGCCTCTGAAGAGTCTGCTTGGTTTTGCTCATCCCCCACATCGGTCCTTACATGATTACAGTGGCCAGTCGGCCATGGCAGTCATCGGTCCCGCTGTCCTCTCCTTCCTAATTGGAGAACGAGAGGGAAGAGGAGAAGGAGTAGGAGGAAGAGGAGGAGGAGGAGGAGGAGGAGGGGGAGGAAGGAGTCCCATGCTACATGCAAGGAGGATGTGTGAGTTCCTCAGGCTTTTGGTGCCTTCTCGAAGTGGTACCAGGCTTCAGGACCACTGGAACTTCTTGGAGCCGCTTGCACCCGCCCCATCCTCTAGCGTTTTGCTGCGGCGAGCTGCTCGCTGGCCCGGCCCCCGTGGTTGGTTGGGCCCTCCCGCATCCCGCTGGCCCCATGCCTTTTCGGCAAGGCCTGTCGCCCACGACCTCCTGACGATCACCCGGAGGCCGCCCGCTTCTGTCGGCTCACTCGCCGCTCCTCCTCCTGTACTGGTGCGACTTGGTCTACGCTTTCTGCGCCTGCAGCCTCTGCCTCAGCCCCTGGGTGTGGCCGTGATGCCGCTCCGCGTTCACTGCCAGCCTGCCTCGGCACAGGCTGGCCGCACCGGCCACTCCTGACGAAGATCTTCGTGCAGTGAGCGCCCTCCCGCTTTCACCCGCCTTGCGCGGCCGCCCTCCGCCTCCTCCTCCCCCCTTGCAGCCAGACGAGTAGTCCGCCCGCTCTCGGCCAACTGGCGCGTGCGGATTGCCCCTGCCGCGTTGCGACGTAGCAGAATGGCCCAGCGACTGTCGCCGCTGCAGTCCCGGGATGTGGCGTGCCAGCACACAGCGTCGCGATGCGCTGGCGCCAGTTCAGGCTCAGCCGCGCCGCTGGTCAGTCCCCCCTTCGCCTCCGCTCCTTTTGAGCATTCGCCTCCTTTTTCCTGCTCTTGCTCCCCATCGTCGTCGTCATCATCATCATCACCATCACCACCACCATCATCACCATCATCACCTTCGTCTCCCCATCATCGCTTGCATTGTCCTGTGCCTCCTCTTCATCCCTGTCCCTTTCCTCTTAATCATCCCGCCAAACAGAAACCTCCTCGTCGCCACCCCACCTTAGTTGCCTCGACACGCCCGTATTGAAACGCAACACGTCCCGTGTTCAAGACGTCCGTGTCAATATTTTGCGTGTTGGCTCCACGTATTGGACCACGTTTTGGCGAATGTATCGCGTCGGACCTACGTTTTCAGCCTACGTGTTGAGCTCCGTATCAATACGATACGTGTTGCGTATTGCGTATCGGGGCAGTTGAGCACCCCACCTTCCTCTCCTCGTCGCCCTCTCTCTCCTCAGCTTCTCCCTCTCCATCCTCTCCCTCATCGTATTTCTTCTTAGTATTCCTCTTTTTGTTTTTCTTCCTCGTCTGGCTCCTGGTCCTTTCGCCTCCTCCTTTTCGTGGCATCGCTCCCGCGAGGCGGGAGCAGCTTCCGCTCCCGCGTGGCACCTTCAAGCAGGCGACGGGGGTCCTTCTTGCACAGTCGAGGAGCCCCGGCATCGCGAGGAATTCGGCAAAAACGGAGCCTCATCTCCCTCAGTCTGTCCTTTCGTTTGAATAGTTGCGTGTGCTTTGTTTGTGGCTTGGCCTCGTCTTCGGTAGCTGGGCTGCTTGTGCCGTTCTGCTTGCCTGGAGCTTCTTGCCCTTGGGCGCTGCACGTGCGATCGAGCCACTGCGCCCCGAGGTGTGGGCCCCGCAGGCAGCGATCCCAGGCTGGGATCGCTTCGCGGACCCATTGCATTCTGCATCCGCAACCATCCTGCTTCTCCCCAAGTCCACGGTCAGGCTTGCGTTGTGCTAGGACTCCACACATACCACGAAGCGAAGGCTGCGGTGACCCACGGGGGATCTTCTTCCAGAGGCCCATCTGACGGCAGCAGCGGCCGCAGCCATGCCCGCCACTGGCAAGTAGCGCGGCCTGGATTTGGCGGCGCTTCTGAGCCACGGTCGACCCTCTGTTCACCTCTCCTCCTCCCCACAATCGCTGACCTCGTGCATGTTTAGCAGCGTGGATCCCCAGAGGCTTCGACCCCTTCCCCCGTTCACGGTGTTGCATTCCGAGTCGTGTCTGTTGACGGTCACGGGGCAAAATCCCTTGGACGTCGCCGAAAGAGACCCAACACCGTCTGTCGTTTAGCTGCTTCGATGCGCCCGCTTTGAGACGCAGCACGTGCCGTGCTTCACACGTCCGTGTCAATGGATTGAATGATGGCTCAGCGTATTGGCCCACGTGTTGGCGAACGCATGGCGTCATGCCTAGAGGTCCCCAGTCCACGCGTGGAGCTCCGCATCCGTGCGCCACGCGTGTTGCGTGCTGCGCACCGGGGCAGGCAGTCGTGGTGTTCTGCTCCTCCGCGGGGAGGCGGAGGTCTACAGTGAGCGGCTTGAATAAGGAACGCTTGCTTTTGAAAAGGGGCTCGGTCGTTCCCTAGGCTTGCATGCGTTATTATCGCCCCTCATGCGTTATTTATGATTCGTTCATCGTTCCCTATGCGTTATTCCTTGGAAGAAAGGGGCTTCGTTCCTTATTTATCGTTCCTTAGGTCAGGCCGATGACTGTACCCCTCCCGCCACCCGCCTCGCCCCCCCGCCTTCCCCTGGCATCGCTCGGAGGTGTGCGTTTTTCCTCGGCGAGGACCATCGAGGAGCATCCTTGACCGTTGGCCGAGCGCTGGCGAGTTCCGCGGGAGGGCAGCAGGGCGCGAGCCGCTCCTCGAGGGCGGCGAGGCGTCGCGGGAGTGCCCCCACTGGTCGAGAGCCCTTCTCTTGCTGGCGCGGCAGCGCGGCAGCGCACCTCGCGTGCGGCGTCCGTTCCGTCGGCGGCGGCGGCGTCGTCGTCGTCGTCGTCGTCGTCGTCGTCGTCGTCGTCGTCGTCGTCGTGGCCCTCTCATCTCCCAGCGGGTGGGGGGGGGACCCGAGGCCCAGAGGCGGGATAGGGGGCAAAATCTTCGACCCCCCCCTGGGGGTCAGGTTCGGCGAGGATCTCGAGGCCCACACGCGGGAGGGCCAGTTAACACGTGCGAGTGGTCTTTCGATCGTCGAGCGCAGTGCGGTCGCAGCGGCTTGCGCTCTCGGCCTTGGACCATCCGCGCTCCAGGGAAGGCGGCGCACCACAGGTGCCACGCTTGCCCAGGGTCGCTCTTGCGTGTAGCCGAGTCAGCATCGTCTAACCGACTCCCATCCCCAACTGGGCCATGGTACGGCAGGTTCGAGTCGTGTCGGCCCTTGGCGACCCCGCCGCGAGCGTTCAAGGCCGAATGCCGCCAGTGTCCAAGAATTGTAACGGTCTGGTAATCGAAAAACCGCCGATCGTTCATGGTTGAACGGTCCATGCGATGCCCGAGACCAACGCTGAAGTCGGCACTACACGAAAGTGGCGTACCTCAGCCCCGCCAAGCCGTTCCCCCAGGTGGGGAGAGGCACCGCGAAGCCCGAAGGGAACAGAGCACCCCCCGCGGTCGTCGTGGTTGTAATGGTCGTCGTCGTCGTCGTCGTCATCGTCGTCGTCGTCGTCGTCGTCGTCGTCGTCGTCGTCGTCGTCGTCGTCGTCTCCCCCCACAACATCTGGAACACGGGGCCCAAGGGGCCTTGGGACCCATCCGATCTTGGGTGGTGCCTTAGACTCAGAGCCTGGGCACATGCTCATCCCCACGGCCATGCCGGTGTGGATGGGGATCGGTCAAACGATGCTCAGGGGGGGAGGGGGGGGCAAATTCAACATCGGCGCTCCTGGCATATTCGAAATCGAAATCGGCTTCATCCGGCATGGTCCTATGCAATCCTGGTTCATCCCCCAAAATTCGATTCAATCTCCGGCTCACTAGTCTAGCCAAATCCAGCTGAGAGGCCCTTGAACCTGACCCGGTGGCACTTAAACGTTCCTACGAAGACCCCCCAGGAGCTGCTTCTTAGGCTCAGCTGCGTCTTGGGGCTGCCCTGCGCTCTCTGGGGGCCCGCTTGGGGTGCACTCGGGCCCTCTTGCGCCTTTCCAGATCGTCTCGGCGGCATGTGCAGACCGTTTTGGGGGACCTCTTTGGGCCCTGTGAGGCCGTGTCGAAACTCCTGCGCCGTCTTGGGCCCCTCTTGGGTCGTCTTAGGGCCACCGTTAGGGGAACAAAAACTGGCATAAACATACAAACTCGCAGGTCCGCGCGGATTTCTCGGATCGGCGCTGGGGCCCCCCGTGGGCGCCTCCGGCGCCGCCCCTGGCGCGCTCCGCGCGCCAGGGAGGGGGGTCCAGCGCCGATCCGAGAAATCCGCGCGGACCTCCGAGTTCTTCTGTTTATGGCCATCTTCGTTCCCCTGGCCTTCTCAGCAAGCTCGGGGCTTTTTATGCTTATGTCAGTTTTTGTTCCCCTAATCGTGGGGCGTGCTGGAGCCCTTTCGGGAGCCTCTTGGGCCACCCTGGGGGGGCCAGGCGAGCCGAGGGGGGGGGGGGGCCTAGGGGCGAGCACCCCGCCGTGCTGGGGCTGCGGCCTCCGCCCCGCAGCCACGGTCGGTTGCAAAGGCCCCTCCCGCCCGCCGCTGCGCCGTCCGCCGGCGTCGCCCTCGCCGTCCGCCGGCGACG